GCTCAAAGGAGGAGCGGGGATAATGTTCCCCCCCCACAGATGCCAGCATGGGGCCACCACCTGAGTAAAACCAGTGATCTTGGCGCCCAGGGGGCTGGTGGGATAACGTTCAGCCCCCCAAAGAAGCCAACATGGGGCCAAGACCTCAGTAACACCAACGATGTTGGCGCCCAGAGGGCTGGTGGGATATTTTTCAGCCCCCCCCACAGAGGCCAACCTGGGGCCAACACCTGAGTCAAACTAATGATTTTGGGTTCCTCGCCGAGGCCGTTTTGGACGCCCTGACACTTCGCGGGGGGTGCCGACACAGTCCAGGGGAGAGGTAAGGGGAAGGGTAAACCCTTCCCCGAAGGGAAAAGTTTTTTTGGAGGGGAAGAGGGAAGAGGGAACTCGTTAGACCACCTGTCGCCCAAAGGGCTGGTGAGATCATCGTCTAGCGATTTCTGGCCTCTTCCCTGAGCCTATACAGGATGCGTCTTGGGGTCTCTTCGGAGCGCTCTCGGGGCATTTTTGGGGCCGCTTTGGGGCCTTTGGGATGCCTTTTGGGGGCCTCTTGTGGGCCTCTTGATGCTTCCTGGGGGTCTCTTGGGGAGCCTCTTGAGGGTCTCTCGGGGCCTGCTGGGGGCCTCTCGGGTCCGAGGGCCTCTGGGGGCCTCTGGGGGCATTTGGGGACCGTTCGGGTCCCCCAACTGGGGTCCTCTTGGAGCGGTCTTGGGGCTTCTTGGGCCGTGTTGGGCGCCTCTTGGGCTGTCTTGGAGCCCCCTTGGGCCGTTTTGGAGGCCTCTTGGGGGCCGCCTTGGGGCGTTTTTTGGGCTTCGTGGGCCGTTTGGGGGCGTCGGGAAGTCGAAACGTCGAGACCGCCACACTCCTTCAGTGTCGCGCAGGCCGCATCATGCAGTTCCGCCGACAGGCTGTTCTGACCAATCTATCCACAGGCTTGTTTTTACACGGATCTGTCCCTCAGGCGGTGTACGGACACCAAGCCCTCGGCCTCGCTGCCTCCACCATCCTCAAGCTGCGTTGGCAGGCAACGCATGCGCAAGGGCGCCCCCGAAGGCGCGAAGTCATTCGCGCTTCGCGCTTCGCGGTTCGGCTCCTATTCCTCCTCATCCTCCTCTTCTCCTCTGGGAGGCGGCGCGAGAGCGCGAAGTGTTTCGCACTTCGCGCTTCGCGCAGCGCGAAGCGCGAAGTTGGGAGCCCTTGCAAACCATGCGGTGGCGGGGAGGGGCCCTGGCAGGTGTCCGTCGACGGTGCTCGGCCTGTGGGGCGGTGGCCAGGGGCCCCGACCTGGCCCTCCGTTGCCGGGCCCCGTCCACGTGGTGTGACCTCCGGGCTCGGACGAGCGAAACAAATAATAACAATACACAGCATACAGGACAACATCTCACCTCTACGGACGCACCTCCCGTTCCTGGCAGCCCATCCTCAAACGGCTTGGGGGCCCAGCGAAGCATCGCTGGCGCAAGGTTCGGGGGCCGATTGTGGTCGTCGTGCTCGCGACTCTCGTGGGCGCGGGCGGGAGGCCTGTGTCTGCTGCAGGCTGGCACCGCCCCACGAGAGCCACGGCGGCCGAGATCTGGTCTTTCCCTGACGCCTCCCCTGAGGAGCGGGAGGAGCGGGACTTTGATGCTTCTGAGCTGGTGTCGGATTTTCGGGGCGATCTCGGGGCGCAGCTCTGGCGCAAGGCGTCCGAGCATGTTCCTGGGGAAGATTGGGGCGAGGGGGGCGACCTCGTCCCTGCTGAGGCTCACCTCGCTAGGCTGTTCAAGACTGAATTCTATGACCAGATAGGCCAGCGTGTCACAAGTATGGCCAGGGGGCAACAACCTCACGATCGTCAGATTGAAGCCTTCTGTTCTGCGTCGGCCCTGTGCCCCAGATGCGGTACCGCTCCCGACTCGTGCTATCATCGTATCTAGACCTGCCCTTGTATCGTAGATATGTCTGGGTACACAGCGTCCCAGTCGGCTATGTACGCAGCGCAGTATCGTTCTGAATCTCAGCCGTCCTTGCGGCTGCGCGGCTTCCCCTGCGCGCCTGTCTGTTCCGCCCGTGAACAGATAGGGGATGTGGAGGGGGTCCTTAGCTCTGGCGCGGTTGGGGCGCCCGCGCAGTCGTTGGAATTTCTCGATCGAGATCCTACTGTGGCCGCGTTCGTCTCCAGGGATGGGTCTGGAGGACGTCTCGGCAGCGATCCACGCTGTCGAAGGGTTGGTGCCGCGGCGGTGTCGCTGAGGCACACCAGCACGGGGTGGGAGCTGCTGGCAGCCAGCAGGAGTTGCCAGCACGGTTGGAGGACGCCGACAGGCAGTCCCCAGAGCTGAGCTCTGTGCTTGAGTTGGCCCTAGAGCCTCTGATGGTCCAATCATCTCCGTAACCGATAATGCGGCTATGCACCAGGGTTGGCTCCGAGGCCGCGCGGAGAGATCGGCGGGCAATCATGCTGATTTTCGGTTTCCAATCGGATCAGCGCTCAGGGCCCGTGCATGCAGCGTCCAGGTAGTCTGGACCCCCTCGCATGTCGACCCCGACGATCCCGCGCTCTCGCCCCTCCAGCGCCAGCTCGCTGGCAACAGCCTCGCCGATGAGCTCGCCGAATTCGCCGTGGCTCGTCCCTAGGAGCTGGAGGGCCTTCGGGCCTCCGGCACGGACAATTTGGTACAGTGCGGCCCACCTCATGCGTCGGAGGGCCGCCCCGGCCGTGGCAGGTGCGACAGCTGCCGCACCGTGGGCCAAGCCAGGCCGTGGGACCTAAGGATTGCAAAAAAACGAAGGATTGCAAAAAAACGAAGGATTGCAAAAAAGCGAAGGATTGCAAAAAAAACGAAGGATTGCAAACAAAAACGAAGGATTGCAAAAAAACGAAGGATTGCAAAAGGTTTTTCTGCAAAGCTGCCGCACCGTGGACCAAGACAGGCCGTGAGACCAAGAGTGCGCGGGACAAGGCTCTGCTTGCGAGCTCGCGCTGCTGGACTTGGGCCCACAGAGAATGGATCTTCTCGCTGTGCCACTGTATCTGGAACGATCCGAATATCATTGAAGCAGCCTCGACGGCATGTCCAGTGGCCGAGCTGAACTTCGGTCAGGCCGTGGACGTGACAGGAAGGGCGGTCAGTGGGCCCGTGGTTGGGGCCAATACGTTGCACGAGTCCCATCGGCTGTTCTACTGGCCCTGGTTTCAGTGCACTTATGTTCCCACAGTGGAAAGACGGCCTCGACGGACCCTCGTCAGCTTACTGGGGTGTGCACGCCTTCTAAGAAGGGCCACGAGAAATTTTCAAGGATCCGTAGACGGGCGAATGGCGATGTAGGCAACGGCGATGAAGGTTTCGGTATTGTGGAAACGCATGGCTCACGCTTTCCTACATTTCGCTGTGTCGTGCTCGCTCGATCCAGTCGCAGATTGGACATGTAGGAGGGTGTGCTTCGTGATTTTCTACAATCTGGTCCCAAGCACCACCGTTGAGCAACATCGCCGTTCGCCCGGCCTTGTAGGATCCGCCAGGGCAAGCATTCGAGTCATCATGGGCCGTCGACCGCAGTTATTGAAGCCGATTTCCCTAGGGGTAAGTCGGGCCTGTCCCTCTACAGGGGGAATATTCAAAAGTAGTAAAAAAATAGTATGGGGACTATTTTTTGAGTATTGGGCATCTTTTGAGTATTTTGTGGAAACGTTTTATTTTTCGTCGAAAATCCCCCTGTAGGGGGACGCCCGACTTAACTCGGGCGCGAAGGAGGGAGGTTCGTCGAGGTGTGCACCCCCCCTGGAGTTCTGTGGTAATCGCAGACGGGCTAACGGCGATGTAGGTGACGGCGATGTAGGTTTTGGTAGTGTGGGAACGCGTGGCTCGCGCTTTCCTACAATTTGTCGTGTCGTGCTCGCTCGATTGGTTCGCAGATGGTAGATGTAGGAAAGTGTGGTTCGTGCTGTCCGACGATTTAGTTCCCAACATCACCGTTCAGCAGCATCGCCGTTAGCCCGGCATTGGGTCAAGGGGTTCGGCTACGTCACCTCCAGCGCTCACACAATCCAACAGAATCTCCGTACTCTGGGGCCCCGAATGGGGCGTCTCGCTGCTCGCTTGTCCTGGGCTTCCTCCAGTCGGTGGCGAGCCTGGGAGGGAAGCGAGAAGGAGAAAGCCTTTTCAGAGGGCTCGGACGTCCCCAAGCCTTCCCCGAAGTCGTTGTCTTGGGCTTCCTCCAGTCGGTGGCGAGCCTGGGAGGGAAGCGAGAAGGAGAAAGCCTTCTCAGAGGGCTCGGGCGTCCCCAAAGCCTTCCCCGAGGTCGCAGAAAAAGCCTCTCTCGGAAGGCCGGAGGCCTCCCGAGAAACCTCCCCGCCTCCTGAGAAGGCCCTGTCTTCCTCCCTTGTCCTCCTCCCTTGTCCTCCTCCTCCTCCTCCTCGAACCGGGCGTCCTGCTCCCCGCCGTGGCCTGGGCGTCCTGCTGCTCGCTCGTCCTGGGGCTCCTCCCGGCGTCTGCCTCCGAGCCCCGGCCGAGGCCCATCGGAGGCCCGGCGAGAGCCCCTCCGAGGCCAGGCGAGAGCCACTCCTTCCTCGACCCTCGTTTGCCTTGCTCCATCCTCGATCTTCCTGCCTCCTCCTCCTCCTCCTCCTCCTCCACCTTCTTCTTCTCCTTCTCCTCCTCTGCCTCCTCCTCCTCCTTCATCCTCCTCCATCCTCCAGCCTCTCGATGCTCCTCGATCTGCGGTGTTCCTCGCTCCCTCGATCCAGCCTCGCTCCCCCCGTGCCTCTCGCTTCTCGGCCCTCCTCGGCTCCTCGATCCCCCCTTTCCGAGTGGAGGAGCGCGGATCCGCGGGGGGGATGGAGGAGGATCGAGGAGGAGGGTGCGTGAGGATCGAGGAGGAGGGAGGCTCGGGGAGGAGGATCCAGGAGGAGGCCCCCCCCCTTCTCCTCGATCCCCGATCCTGCATCCTCCTCGCTCCTCGCTGCTCCCCGACGCCTCGCTCCTCGCGGCCTCGCGCGCCTCGACGCCTCCTCGCAGGCGCGCATGACGCAGCTGGCGCTGGCCTCGGACGAGAGCACGGGGCGCGCGGCGTTCGCGGAGTGGCGCCGGGTGGCCCGCGAGCAGCGGCGCGGCAGGCGCGTGGCCGCCCCACGCCCCCCCCTCCCCTGCGCCTCCTCGCCTTGACCTTCCTCGCCTCTTCCTCCTCCATTTTCGTCGTCCTCTTGACCTTCCTCCTCCTCTTCCTCCTCCTTTTCCTCCTCTTCCTCCTCCTTTTTCTCCTCCTCTTCCTCTTCTTCCTCCTCCTCCTCTTCCTCGTCCTCTTCCTCCTCCTCCTTCCTCGCCTCTTCCTCGTCGCCGCGCCTCCGCGCCTCGTTCCTCGGCCTTCCTCGCCTCTTCCTCTTCTTCCTCCTCCCTCCTCCTCCTGCTCCTCCCTCGCCCCTCCTGCCTCCTGCGTCCCCACCCCCACTCGCCCTCATTCTCTCTGCGTTCGGCAGAGTTCGACCGACCGAGGTGATCGAGATCCTCTCGCTCCTCTCCCTCCTCCTCATCCTCGGGAAGGGTGCCGCGGCCGACGGTCCTCTCCTTTCTTCTCCTCTCCTTCTCGTCGCCGTCCTCCTCCACCTCGTCCTCCTCTCACTCCTCTTCCTCGTTCCGCCGCGTCCTCCATTTCTTCCTCCTCCTCCTCCCTCCCTCCTGCTTCCCCTTTCTCCTCCTCCTCCTCCTCCTCTGCGGACTCCTCCTCCGCCGTTTCTCGGTGTCGGGGTGGGGGGCCTGCGCCGGGCCCGCTGGACCAGGAGAGTTCGACCTGGGATGCCAGACGACAGTGGAGGCCAGTCCACAAGAAACCTTCCCTAAGCAAGGGCGCCCTCGAGGGCGCGAAGGTATTCGCGCTTCGAGCTTCGCGGTTCGGCTCCGATTCCCCTTCCTCCTCTTCTCCCTTGGGAGGCGGCGCGAGAGCGCGAAGTTGTTCGCACTTCGCGCTTCGCGCAGCGCGAAGCACGAAGTTGGGAGCCCCTGCTAAGAAACCCAACCCTGAGACCCCAGGACGTCCATGGATTTCTGCTGTGGGAGCGTCACGCCGTCCACAGCAGAACCCTGGAGGCCCAAGAGACTCAGGGCACCCTGGAGGCAAGCAGGGCGTCTCTCGGCATGGGCCTCCGCTGTGGCCGGGTCGGAGCCCCGGGGGACGACCCCGGCACATGTTCGGCCAGCGTTGGGATGGGCGGATCGAGGCGGTCGAGGAGAGAGCAGCCGTTTCTTGGCGTCTTCGGGGTGGACCCCGTTTGTCGAGAGTGTGCCGTCCGCTCGGAAGAGTTGCAGCTCCGCGCGCAGGCCCTCGCGATCGAGCGAAGAGCGTGGCAACTATATTCGCTCGAAAGCCACGCTTGCTCTAGCGAGAAGCGTGACGACTATGCGCGCAATCATTTGTTCCATCGCTTCGCTCGTTCCGCCAGCCCATCTCGCACCACGGTGGCTGCATGGTGGTGTGCTCGCACCCATGGGGACCGGTGGGGGAGGCAAGACTCTCCTCGAGACGATTCTTTTTTGGGGACGTGGCTCGCACCCTGTCGAAGAGAGCAAAGCCCGCTCGCTCAAGCGAACAGTGCGATTGCGATGCGCGCAGTCACTCATTTTGGCCGGCTGGGCTTGCGGCGGACGTGTGGGGCCTTTCTGTGGAGGCCTCTGGTGCTCCAGAGACGTCGAGGAATCTCGCGGGCGGCCTCTTGGAGCGGGACTGTAGGTGCGCCCGATCAGCAAGGGACTCCGAAGGAAACTTGCGTGCCGATCTAAGCAGTGTTCCGCGGGATGTCGTCGTCGTCGTCGCCGTCGTTGCCGCCGTCGTCGCTGGCGTCGTTGCTGTCGCCATCGTCGCTGCTGTCGTCGCCGCCGTCGTCGTCGCTGTCGTCGTCGGGAGGGGGAGCCGCGGCGCTCGTCCACCCGCACCGGAGCGGGCGGTGCTTGGCATTTCCTCCCCTCGTCTCGGCGCCTCGCGCCCCCGTGGCCTCATAGGCCAGTCCTTCTGCAGGGGGAGGGGGGCAGGCGTTCAGAGTTCAATCGGGCGTGTCCCTCGACAGGAGGAACATTCACAAACAGTGACATGTTTGAATTATTTTGGGGGTATTTGTTCGACTACTTGTTCGTACAGAATCCGCCTGTAGGAGGGCATGCCCGGCCTGACGTTGAAGGGAGATTGGCTCAGGGGGGCAAGCATCGACCCCCAATCGCCCAATCGTCGCCGATGGGTCCGATCGCCCGCCCCGCGCAGGAAAGTGCGGGCTCGATATCTGGGGCCCATCTCCAGTCTATCGGCGAGGTGTCGCCGATGCCAGCTCGATGTTTCCCCCTTCTGAGCCGGTCCCCACCCCTCACGTGCCCCTCAAGGAATGGGAGGCGGACGGCTTGTGTTGCGGGCGCCGACCGCGCTTCGTGCGACGCGGGAGGTTTTCGAAGAAGACAAAACGGCCCGCGCAGCAAGGATATGCGCTGGACCTCCCTGGCCGCCCATGGCGAGGGCCCATCTCAGAACCAATCAATTCGTGGGGGCCTGTCGGAATTCATGATGGTTGTAGTTTGTATCATCATACCAACCTGTGTGATCTCGCACTGCATTATTTCGACCGACCGTGCCTGGGTGTGTTGGGATGTGTCGGTGTGCTGCATGGTGTGCTGGGGTCCGTGTGCTGGGAACGGTGTGCTGAGACGTGTCAGACGGACTTGGGTGTGCGATGGGGGCTGCGCTGCATGCCGTGATGTGCTGGAGCACGTGCTCTGGCAGTGGCCCCCCCTGGATGATGGCCTGGATGTGTGCTGGCGTGTGTCGGTGTGCGCTGGGGGTGCTGGGATGCGTGGGCGTTGGCCTCACCCGCGCCCCCGAGCGTGCCTCCTCCCGCTGCACGACTGTGCCCTCTTGTTTCGCTTCCCTCGCCGCCCTCCCCGTCCCCCTCCCCGCCCCCCTCCCCTGATTCCGGCCGACCGTGCCCCCCCTTCCCCGTCGCCTTTTCCCCTTATCCCGACCGTCCGTGCCCCCTCCCCCCCCCCCCGCACCCTTCTCTTCTTCCGGTCGAGCGCGCCCCCCCGTCCCTCCGTGGCCCTCTCTCCACTGTCGGGGGCCCCCAAACGGGGTGGTGACCACACCGTGCGGTGAGTCGGTGGGGATTCGGGGTCACCGCACGGTTTTCGTGACTCGGGTCGCTCTCCGAGGACGTCTCGGGCGACGAGGGCCTCCGGGGTCCCAAGACCGTGCTGCGACGGACCGTGCGGTGAGGTCTTGGGGATTTCGAGGTCACCGCACGGTCTGTCACCGCACCGTTCCGGGACTCCAAACACTGTGCCGACCGGCCGTCCCCCCCCCCCCTGACCGACTGTGGCGCTCGGCTCCCCCCTCTGGCCCCCGTCCCCTTGTTCCGACCGATCGCGCCTCCGTGCCTCCACCCCCGTGGCCCGCCTGTCTTTGATCACGGCCGATCGTGCGCCCCCTCCCCGCTGCCCGACCGTGGCCCCCCGCTGCCCCGCCCCTCTTGGTTCTTCCAGTCGACCGTGCCCCCTCCTTGCCCGTCTGCGGCCCGCCCTCTTCATCTGACCGACCGTGCCCCCCCTGCAGTCCGACCGTGGCCCCCCGCTCCCCCCCCCCCCTCCCCCCCCCCCCCCGCACCCCCCATCATTCAACCGACCGTGCCCCCCCCCCCCTTCCTCCCCGTGACCCCCCGCCCATACCCCTTCCCCCCATCCCTGTGCATGTCATTCCGATCAAGCCCCCCCCCCCGTCCCCCGCGTGGACCCTTCTCCCCTTCTTCCGGCAGACCGTGCCCCCCCCCCCGCTGCCGGACCGTACCCCATCGTCCCGCCCTGTCCGACCGTGCCCCCTCCCTCCCCCCCTGGCCCCAAGGGCGCAGTGATTCGCGCTGCGCGGTTCGGCTCCGATGCCTCCTCATCCTCCTCGTCTCCCCTGGGAGGCGGCGCGATAATTAGCGCAACGTTCTCTGCACTCCGCGCTCTTCGCGCAGCGCGAGGGCGCGAAGTTGGGAGCCCCTGCGGCCCCCCTCCCTTTCTCTCCCGACCGACCGTGCCCCCCGCGACCTCCCGTGGCCCCCCCCCCTCCTTTTATTCCGGCCGTGGCCCGACCGTGGCCCAGACCGTGGCCCTCCGCCCCCCCCCCCCAGCCTGCCCCCCTTCTCTTATTATTATCCTCCTCCTCCTCCTCCTCCTCCTCCTCCTCCTCCTCCTCCTGCTCCTCCTCCTTCTCCTCCTCCTCCTGCGCTGCGGGCTTGGCGGTCCAGGCGCCGTAGCCCCGCGCCGCGCCGCAGGCCTAAGCGGCCGAGGCCGGCGCTCCGACGCGACTCAAGGCCTCCGAAGTCCTTCTCCGAGCGCCTCGAAAAGCCTCCGAGGGGGCAGGGGCCTCAGGGGTCCTCGGCCCCCCCCCCCCCCCACCTGAAAGGAAGGGGGGGAGGGGTCGAGGTGGAGGGCCGCGGCCCGAAGCCGCCGCCCGCGGCAGCTGCCGCTCAGGCATGGGAGTCGACCTCCACCCCCCCCAGGGGCCGCCTACCCTCCTCTCTGGCAGGAGGGCGGCACGCTCACCCCTGAGGGGGCGTCGACGATGGTGAAGGTGGCTTACTGGTGGGCCGTGTGCCTGAGCGCCAGGAGGTTCCTCACGTAGGCCTCGTTGAGGCCTTGTAGGGCGTTGACGCAGTCGGCGCCCTCGAGGCCGTCGTTGAGGTCGGAGCCGTGGCCGAGGACCATGTTGCGGGGCAGAGGCTGGGTCTCCAGGTTGGTGGCGGGCGCGCGCCGTCGGAGGCGTTCTCCTGGGGCGCGTCGTTGTAGCGGGCGTCGCCGTCGTCGGCTGGGCCGGCTGGGTCGTAGGGCAGGTTCTCGGTGTCGTTCTCTGGGTCTTCCTCCTCGTCCTCGGTGTCGTATTGGTTCTCCGAGGCCGTCTCTGGGGATTCGGGCACCGCCTCGAAGGTGTAGATCTCTGGGTCCTCGTTGAAGCGTACCTTGTCGTACCTTCTCGTTCTTGGGGTCACTCCCGTTGCCTTCTCGTCCTTGGAGTCGCTCCCATAGCTCTTCTCGTGGCCGCCGATCCGCTGGGCCTCGTACGTGTCGACGTGGTCGCTGATCCACTGGGCCTCGTGCGTGTCGACGTGGTCGCCGATCCGCTGGGCCTCGTTCGTGTCCTGTTTCTCGTGGCAGTTGGTCCACTGGGCTTCGTACGTGTCGACGTGGTCGCCGATCCGCTGGGCCTCGTTCGTGTCCTGTTTCTCGTGGCAGTTGGTCCACTGGGCTTCGTACGTGTCGACGTGGTCGCCGATCCGCTGGGCCTCGTTCGTGTCCTGTTTCTCGTGGCAGTTGGTCCACTGGGCTTCGTACGTGTCGACGTGGTCGCCGATCCGCTGGGCCTCGTTCGTGTCCTGTTTCTCGTGGCAGTTGGTCCACTGGGCTTCGTACGTGTCGACGTGGTCGCCGATCCGCTGGGCCTCGTTCGTGTCCTGTTTCTCGTGGCAGTTGGTCCACTGGGCTTCGTACGTGTCGACGTGGTCGCCGATCCGCTGGGCCTCGTTCGTGTCCTGCTTCACGTGGCCGTCGGTCTTCTGGGCCTCGTTGGTGTCGATGTGGCCGCCGATCCGCTGGGCCTCGTACGTGTCGACGTGGCCGGTGTTCTGGAGGGCGGAGGCTGCGATGATCTCGGCGATCCTGGCTGGGAGGGGCATGTTCAGGGCGGCCATGTGGGCGAGGGTGTAGGCGTTGGGCCCGTCGATGCCTGCATCGCGGAGCGCGACGCAGACTGCCGCCTTGTTCTTCTGGAAGGTGTCGCACTCCTGATCGTCCTGGCCTTGCACGCTTTTCTCGATCGCGCTGCTCCCAGCGCTGTTGCTGTCGTTCTCGGGCTCAGGCTGGTCCTCCCCGAGCTGTTCCTCGCAGTCCGCGTCGCTGTCCTCCGCGTCCTCCTGCTCGTGCTCATTTGCGCCCCCCCTTGTGCGGGACGTCTTGGCAGCAGGCAGGGGTTGCTGCGCTGGCGGTGATGCGCCCCCTCCCGTACGGGAAGCCTCGGCAGCAAGCGGGGATTGCTGCGCTGGCGTGTTTGCGTCCCCCCCCGCACAGGACGTCTTGCCAGCAATCGGGGGTTGCTGCGCTGGTGTGGGTGCGTCTGGTAGTGCAGCCCTCGTCTGGCGCTCGGCTTTCGCCTGGCCAGCTGCTTCGGCTCGGCGTGCGGCAGCAGCTCGGGTAGCCACCTCTGCACGCGCCTGCAGGTAGACCTCCGTGGGGTAGGCGACCGCTGGCGGCGCAGGGCGCGCGAGGTCTAGCGGTTCGCCCAGGAGCCGCTCCGCTTCGAGGTCCGTGTCGGGCGGCGCGTTCTGCTCCTCGGGCTGCACGTCGCCCTTCCAGTCGCTCTGGTGCCCATCATGGGGCTTACTCTGGTTGGGGACCTGGATCACGATGTACCTCGTCTGTGTGTTGATGCCAGCTGCGCGAAGCCCCGCCTCGCAAGCGTCGCGGCGCCGCCTGCGGGCGAGTCGGCGCGCCTTGCAGGCGCCGAAGCGGTCGATTTCTCTCTGGCGCTGGTTCGAAGGCCGCCGCCACTCGTTCGGGCGGCCCCCCTCGTTCCTTGTCTCGTTGTGCTTCCATGGCTCGGGGCTGGCCCTGGCGCAGAGCTGCCGCCCGCGCGCCAGGCTGGCGCCCATGAGGTCCATCCCCGCAGCGGCCCGCCCCCCACGAGGGGGGGAAATGGGGTTGGGCCACAATGGATACGGACCTTCCCCCTCCTCCTCCTCCTCCTCCTCCTCCTCCTCCTCCTCCTTCACGCTCACCCCTGAGGGGGCGTCGACGATGGTGAAGGTGGCGTACTGGTGGGCCGTGTGCCTGAGCGCCAGGAGGTTGCTCACGTAGGCCTCGTTGAGGCCTTGTTACGGCCATGGCGCCGTACCCCGTAGGGCGTTGACGCAGTCGGCGCCCTCGAGGCCGTCGTTGAGGTCGGAGCCGTGGCCGAGGACCATGTTGCGGGGCGGAGGCTGGGTCTCCAGGTTGGTGGCGGGCGCGCGCCGTCGGAGGCGTTCTCCTGGGGCGTGTCGTTGTAGCGGGCGTCGCCGTCGTTGGCTGGGCCGGCTGGGTCGTAGGGCAGGTTCTCGGTGTCGTTCTTTGGGTCTTCCTCCTCGTCCTCGGTGTCGTATTGGTCCTCCGAGGCCGTCTCTGGGGATTCGGGCACCGCCTCGAAGGTGTAGATCTCTGGGTCCTCGTTGAAGCGCACCTTGTCGTACCTTCTCGTTCTGGGGGTCACTCCCGTTGCCTTCTCGTCCTTGGAGTCGCTCCCATAGCTCTTCTCGTGGCCGCCGATCCGCTGGGCCTCGTACGTGTCGACGTGGTCGCTGATCCACTGGGCCTCGTGCGTGTCGACGTGGTCGTCGATCCGCTGGGCCTCGTTCGTGTCCTGTTTCTCGTGGCAGTTGGTCCACTGGGCTTCGTACGTGTCGACGTGGTCGCCGATCCGCTGGACCTCGTTCGTGTCCTGTTTCTCGTGGCAGTTGGTCCACTGGGCTTCGTACGTGTCGACGTGGTCGCCGATCCGCTGGGCCTCGTTCTGCTTCACGTGGCCGTCGGTCTTCTGGGCCTCGTAGGTGTCGATGTGGCCGCCGATCCGCTGGGCCTCGTACGTGTCGACGTGGCCAGTGTTCCGGAGGGCGGAGGCTGCGATGATCTCGGCGATCCTGGCTGGGAGGGGCATGTTCAGGGCGGCCATGTGGGCGAAGGTGTAGGCGTTGGGCCCGTCGATGCCTGCATCGCGGAGCGCGGCGCAGACTGCCGCCTTGTTCTTCTGGAAGGTGTCGCACTCCTTATCGTCCTGGCCTTGCACGCTCTTCTCGATCGCGCTGCTCCCAGCGCTGTTGCTGTCGTTCTCGGGCTCAGGCTGGTCCTCCTCGAGCTGTTCCTCGCAGTCCGCGTCGCTGTCCTCCGCGTCCTCCTGCTCGTGCTCATTTGCGCCCCCCCTTGTGCGGGACGTCTTGGCAGCAGGCAGGGGTTGCTGCGCTGGCGGTGATGCGCCCCCTCCCGTACGGGAAGCCTCGGCAGCAAGCGGGGATTGCTGCGCTGGCGTGTTTGCGTCCCCCCCCGCACAGGACGTCTTGCCAGCAATCGGGGGTTGCTGCGCTGGTGTGGGTGCGTCTGGTAGTGCAGCCCTCGTCTGGCGCTCGCCTTTCGCCTGGCCAGCTGCTTCGGCTCGGCGTGCGGCAGCAGCTCGGGTAGCCACCTCTGCACGCGCCTGCAGGTAGACCTCCGTGGGGTAGGCGACCGCTGGCGGCGCAGGGCGCGCGAGGTCTAGCGGTTCGCCCAGGAGCCGCTCCGCTTCGAGGTCCGTGTCGGGCGGCGCGTTCTGCTCCTCGGGCTGCACGTCGCCCTTCCAGTCGCTCTGGTGCCCATCATGGGGCTTACTCTGGTTGGGGACCTGGATCACGATGTGCCTCGTCTGTGTGTTGATGCCAGCTGCGCGAAGCCCCGCCTCGCAAGCGTCGCGGCGCCGCCTGCGGGCGAGTCGGCACGCCTTGCAGGCGCCGAAGCGGTCGATTTCTCTCTGGCGCTGGTTCGAAGGCCGCCACTCGTTCGGGCAGCCCCCCTCGTTCCTTGTCTCGTTGTGCTTCCATGGCTCGGGGCTGGCCCTGGCGCAGAGCTGCCGCCCGCGCGCCAGGCTGGCGCCCATGAGGTCCATCCCCGCAGCGGCCCGCCCCCCACGAGGGGGGGAAATGGGGTTGGGCCATAATGGATACGGACCTTCCTCCTCCTCCTCCTCCTCCTCCTCCTCCTCCTCCTCCTCCTCCTCCTCCTCCTCCTCCTCCTCCCCCGTAGACCCCCTCCCCTTATTCCGACCGGCCGTGCCCCCCTTCTCTTCTTATTCCGACCGACCGTCCCCCCGTCTATCCCCCCGTAGACAAGGGCTCCCACGAGGGCGCGAAGTTAGTCGCGCTTCGCGCTTCGTGGGCCTCATTCCTCCTCCTCCCCTCCTCGTCCTTCTCTTCTCCCCTTTGGGGGCGGCGCGAGAGCGCGAAGTTGTTCGCGCTTCGCGCAGCGCGAAGCGCGAAGTTAGGAGCCCTTGGTAGAACCCCGCCCCTTCTTCCGACCGGCCGTGCACCCCCCTCCGTTTCCCCCCGTGGCCCCCCGCCAAAACGACCCAAGAGGCCCCCAGAGGAGCCCCGGGACGGCCGAAGCCTTTCAGAGGCAGCCTCAAAGAGCTCCCAAATTACCCAAAGGGCACCAATCATATTTCAGAAGGCTTCAGAAGGACTTCCAAGAAGCCCCACATACGCAGAACAGCAAAGGCTCCGAACAACGCACAGTGACCAAGCGCTTCGCTCCATACAGGGGTCGGCACAAAAAAACACTCCATTGACACCTCGCAAACCCTTTCCCGTCATATTGAGATCGATCGAAACCGTAAGCTTCATTTGCACAGCCGTGCTGCAATTCGCCGCTCCCTTGTTATTGCCACTCGCCGGCCTACCGCAGCACTCGCGCGCTTCTCCAAAACTACCAGAGCTTGGCGCCATCACCATCTCCCATTGTCATATTGTCCTACATCAGTGATTGTATGATATTTTCTCTTGCTCCACTCTGGGTTCGAACCGGACGAGACAGTCAAATCAAAGAGCTCTCAAGCTTTGTGCTTTCCTGGCCTGTCTTCTGCGTGGCTCCAGAAAGGCTACGGACCGCGCGTCACATACACGCTTGCATGAACATGAGTGACGCTGACGCGAAAAAACGTGGTCGTCTGCGCCGACATTGGCGCGTAAGCTGCCCGCGTAAGGTCGCGCGTAAGCGCCCTCATCTCCAATGCAGCACGCCGCGCTGACGGCCCGCGTAAGCCACAACGTGAGGTCGCCACCTCATCTCGCGTAAGACCCGTGTTTGATCGTCGCCCACCTGAGTACAGCAGATATTGCAGCGAGCTTCGCAACCGTGCGATGAGGAAGTGAAGGGGGGGGGGAGCGAAGCCAGCCGCGTTGAGGGTTTCGTCCCCGCCGCCCAGGGCGCTTTCCTCGATCCATGGGTGCCTCTTGCGCCGGGAGGCGCCAGGAGGAGGACAGAGGAGAAGGATGAGCAGGATGAGGAGGAGGAGGAGGAGGAGGAGGAGGAGGAGGACAGAGGACAGAGGAGGAGAAGGAGGAGGAGGAGGAGGCAAATGGCTAGATGAGCTCATTCGGTAACCCCCCTTTGCTGGACCCCCTTGTCGTCTGAGCCGAGAGGTCTGGCGAACAATGGGGGCTGGCTCGAAGCTCTCGCCCGCCGGAGAGTCACGGCAGGCATTCTCCAGCAGTCTCGGCCCTGGGATGCCCCTCTCGGGCCCCGGGGCCATCAGAGAACGACAACTGGTGGGAAACATGGGCCCACGTCGATGACAAGGGGAGGGATTACCGCGTCTGAAGACACCATCGCCAAGAGAGAGGGGGAGAGAAGGAAGGGGTGGTGTGTGTGTGTGGAGTGAGGAGAGCTGTGGGGAGGAAGGCGAGATAGGCGTGGAGGAAGATGCGGTGGAGGAGGAGGAGGCGGATGGGAAAGGGGGAGGCAGGAAGAGGAGGAGGAACAATAGAAAGAAGTGGAGGAGTAGGAATAGGAATAGGAATAGGAACCACTGGCGATGCCAATCCATACAATGCTACCCTCGGCCTCGCTGGGCCAATTCGGCCTTGCTGAGGACCTTGGGGGGGAGCCCTTCACGAATTCTTCTGAGGTACTCACGGCCTGTTGCTGACAACTTGTTCGTACAAGGCTTAGCAAGCGAACGGACTTGCTTGTCAGCAATGGCCCCACACTTCCCACAGAACCAACAATTCAAAGAGGCGTGCACATTGAGGTGGTGAGATGGATGCAGCCAGCCCCCCCCGACGTGGATCCGCCCTCCGACTGGAGGAGAGTAAATCAGACCATTCACATTCACTAAGCTGTGGCACTCCGAGGCATGCCATTCCTTTAAAGTGTCCAAGGACGCTGAGCCGTGGCACCTCAAGCATCTCTTTCGGCAGTCGGACAGCCGATGTCGAGACAAGAGAGCAGCAACGGCAGCAGCGGAGGGGGGCGGCGGAGGGGGGGGAGGCTGAGGGCCTCCACGCTTTTTCCTTTCACCACTCCGCTCCAGCTGTTTTTCCTTAGCCAGTGCATCCACAGTCGCACGAAGGAGGCGGAGGCGCACCAAACGTGCGCGACGCTCGTGCAGCAACAGACGGTAGCGCTGGTCCTCGGGCACGCGGGCCTGTGCAGCAGCCAGGCCCGCAAGCTCGTCCACAACAGCGTTGCCAAGAATCAACGTACGTATTCCTTGCCCGTTGGCCACCTGAGTGGCCGTCAAATGAGAATGTGTGAAGAGGACTGACACATGGTGAAACGGTCTGTGGGCCATGAGGTCACCGATGGCCGCCCAAAGGTCAGCGTCAGCACCTCTTGGAGGAGGAGGAGGAGGAGGAGGAGGAGTGGGAGGATGAGGAGGAGGAGGAGGAGGCGGAGGAGGCGGAGGAGGAGGAGGAGGACGAGGAGGACGAGGAGGAGGAGGAGGAGGAGGAGGAGGAGGAGGAGGAGGGGGAGAGGAGGGAAGCGTAAAATTACTACTATTAAGTCTGGCCTGTCCCTCTACAGGGGGAATATTCGAAAGTAGTTCGAAATTAGCCTTGAGACGATGTTCTGACCATTTTTGTTTTTCCCAACCATCCTGTGGTGTTGGGTCCTCGTTTTGAAGAGACGGTGCCCCGCGTCTCCTTCCTCCTCTCCTCCTCCGCCTCCTCTCCCCTCCTATCATCCTCATCGTCATCATCATCATCATCGTCATCATCATCATTATCATCATCAGTATCATCATCATCGTCACCGAAGGTCCCAGTGGGTGTGCCCGCATGCGTCCCGCACGCCCATTTTGGCACACCCCTCACACGTTTCGTGGCCCCATAGAGAGCTCCATTTACGGTCCAAGTGGCGCAGCTCGCATGGCGCCACCGCCCCATTTTGGCACACCCCTCACACGTTTCGTGGCCCCTCAGGGAGCTCCACCTGGGGTCCAAGTGGCGCAGCTCGCATGGCGCCACCGCCCCATTTTGGCACACCCCTCACAGATTTCGTGGCCCCTCAGGGAGCTCCTTTTGGCACACCCCTCACACGTTTCGTGGCCCCATAGGGAGCTCCACCTAAGGTCCACGTGGCGCAGCTCGCATGGCGCCACCGTCCCTTTTTGGCACACCCCTCACACGTTTCGTGGCCCCATAGGGAGCTCCATTTACGGTCCAAGTGGCGCAGCTCGCATGGCGCCACCGCCCCATTTTGGCACACCCCTCACACGTTTCGTGGCCCCTCAGGGAGCTCCACCTGAGGTCCAAGTGGCGCAGCTCGCATGGCGCCACCGCCCCATTTTGGCACACCCCTCACAGATTTCGTGGCCCCTCAGGGAGCTCCTTTTGGCACACCCCTCACACGTTTCGTGGCCCCATAGGGAGCTCCACCTAAGGTCCACGTGGCGCAGCTCGCATGGCGCCACCGTCCCTTTTTGGCACACCCCTCACACGTTTCGTGGCCCCATA